GGCACTCCCTTCAATGCTTCCCACTTATGAAGGAAAGAAGGATGCATGGCGTCATCAAGAAGGAACAATAAACGTCAACTCGTTTATAAGCTATATTTCATCAGTAATATTCATGTGCTAGCGCAAACGTGTTATGTAAAGCTCGAGTCAACTACAACTCTATGTTTTTCTTACATCATTTGACAGACCACTTGGAGATCTGTTTCTGCTCTATGATATGTTATATTTTGCGTCCACATTCCTTGCAGAGATGTTGAATTTTAAGGCTGCGAAATTGAAGGTCCAAGCAAAAATGGAAAAATGAAGACTAACCAGACCAAGAATTAGCTCAAACTGCATTTTTCTCGGAGAAGAATCTATCAGCGATTACCTCTACTAAATATTCAGCTGCTAGGCTTCACAAAAATCAAGTAGTTCCTTTTTCGAATTTGGTTTTTCCGCCAGAACTCGATGGTTGAGCACTATCTGTTAAATCTGGACCGAAAAATTATTGCAGCCCAGAAAGTGTCAGCAGAAACTCGTGGCTTTATTTAAAATGCATTCCTTATTGATTTTGTCATCTCTCATAGGGAATTTTTTTGAAGCAATGATTGTGGTCATTCTCGTGGACCGGGTACCTCACCACCTACGCCTAAAATTAGACCTACTTCATAACAAAAATAAAACGAAGGCATAAGTCCGAATAGAGCAGTAAAAAAGTCTAGAGTAACATAGAACTTAGGTTGCATTGAAAAATTCCAGTTTTAAAGTCGCCGTGGCTTATCGGGTAATCAGAAAAACCAATTTCGAAAAGGAGAGCCTTTTTCAAAACCTAACAGCGAAGTGTTCAGGAGAGGTCATGACTAAGTAGAGGGTACATCATTGATTGATTTCTCCGAAGGGAACATAAAGTTAGAGCTAGTTGTCGGTTTGGTCAATTTTTGTCGGCTGGACCTCCCATTTCGCAGGCCTGAAATTCAAAACCTCTTCAACGAATGTGGAAGCAAGACATACGATTTCTGTAGAGCAGACAAATCTCTTTCCGAATGTTTGGTCAAGTGATGTAAAAATATGGAATTTTAGTCGAAATTATTCCGTTTGAAAAAAAACGGCTCTATTTGTGGGACAACCTAATACATTCCAGAGCTTTAGGATGATCAAGGCCTTCACGGCGTAAGCAATCAGATGAAAGTAAAGTAAACCTCAGTCGCAAAAGCAGGGAAATCAGGTCACATTGGCTGGCAAATACCCTCATCACCCTTGAGTCACGAAATTCTCCTATCATTATCATTGATCTTTAATGTCATAATCGATTGACCATATCAAGGATCGTTTTTTCTTTCGATTTGGTTCAAAGTGAAATCAATATCTGACAATATGGCTAATCACGAAAGCTGATCAGAAGAGTTACGATTGGTAGTCTAAAGACCTTTCTCATAATTGGAATTTTTCTGGAATTTTCTAAACGTTCAAGTGTATAAGAACTGCAAAAGAACGCCTTCGTGAGTTTTAACCGATGAAGTGAGCAGTTTCCGATTGAAGCCAGCATCCAAACCCGCGCAATGATCTTGAGAAATGCTGTAGTCATTTGAGTTGATTCCATTCAAAAGTAAAAGAAGGCGGTTCTCCGTTTTTGCTACGCTTGTAGATGTTTCATAATAACAACCAATGGAGCCTGTCATTTGGGCTCATAAAAACTGAATGTAAGAAGGCTTATTTTCAGGCAACAACAAATGCAAGCGAAATAATTTCTATCTGATGGCAGACTCCGAAATTTCGATGTCGCAGGAATTTTTTGAAAATGTCCACTGCCATAGTACGGGCACTATTTACCCTTTACTGCCCCACTCCTCGAGAACTGAGCCGGATTTTTATCGAAATTGGTCATTGACTGTGAATTTGGCCAGAAACTTGCCTTCGGGGGTAATTCGACCCGTAGAACACGAATATCACATTTGTTTACCGCTAGAACGCCTGGCGCTCGCGTCAGAAGCGCCGGCGCCAAAAGGCGCCAGAACATCTCGGATCCCCAAATTCGCTGGAAAGTTGTCCTCAGAGGTATTTTGACCCGTAGAATATGATTATCACATCAGTTTGTTACGAGTGAACCTGTAGCCTGCGCTACGAGCGCCCGCGCAAAACTGTTGTGATAGCGCCGGCGCCTGTGGCGCGGGCGCCAAGCGTTTTCGCTCTAAACCGGTATTATATTCGTGATCTACGGGTCAAATTACCCCTGAAGGCAAGTTTCTAGCAAAATCCACAGTCATGGACGAATTTCGATCAAAATCCGGCTCAGTTCTTGAGGAGTGGGCAGTAATGGGTAAATAGTGCCGAAATGTTGATACCTGATTAAATCGATACGAAGAATTCCAAAGACCAATCCCCACATAACCAGAAAAGTGATTTTTTAGTCCTCAACCTCATTGACCTGACTTTATTCTTGCATTTGGCTTGAAGACTTCGTTGAGAACGTGGACGCCTTTTTGGCGTAGTGCTGGAGGCCCAATACATTAATCGTCAACTCGTTACTGTAACGCCATTTTTATGAATGAAATCGAGAAGAAAGTAAAAATTGCGTCAAGTTTGGTTCGAAACTACGGCTCGCTGATCCGAATGAATCAACATACAGGGGTGGCCAAAAAAGTCACTTCACTTTCACATTTCAGGCAGCATTAATCACACTTTGCAAAGCTCAAACCGACTGCTCCCAGACTTAGTAATCAAAGCACATCCCAATCTATCCACTTAGTGTTAAAATTCCTTCTGCGCCAAAGGACGTCACAAGAACTTTCCATGGGAACCTTGTGGACTGTTGGAGATCAACTGGTCCTCGGCGGATAGGGGACCTCTACGACATTATCTAGAACGCTTATCGGAAGGGGTCCTGCATATTAAGAGCTACTGTCCTTAAAAAACAATCCGCTATCCAACCCACCAAAGAGAAATTCGTAGCAGCTCAAGGCCCGGCGTCTTGAGGTCAACCCGAGTATCGGAAAGAAACGACTCATGTTTAAGGACGTCGTGCAGGAGCAATGAAAGAGGAGTCGCCATGCTTCTACTACTTATAATGGGACAAGGATATCTAAAGGGACATTTTTAGCTCGTAAACTTTCATTATAGAGCGCACCTCAGATGCGATGAAAAGAGTTTGATGATGTGCGCCATGGGCAAAGTGTCTCCTTTTTGCCACCCCTGTACATTTTTATGTCGCAAATTGCTGCCGTACTATTAGCGCCCTCGACCATCGCTGGCTTTCAATATCATGTTCAACCGTTTACCCAAGTTTAAGCTCAATGCTAATAGGTTAGGAGTACCCACTTTAAAGCTCGAAAACCTCTTGTTCTGACTTTTAATCGAAGTTAGCGGGTTTTGTGGTAATTACCAACACAGTGATTCCTCTTTAAATTCCGAGGCATGCGAACAAACCATCATCAACTGCTGGCCTTTTTATCGGACTCGGCTAACTAGATGGTCGAGAACACGACAAAAACTTTAAAATGCCTCCTGGAAAGTCCTCTTTGTCCTCACTTCTATGTTCTCACATTAATTGCCTTTATGTCTTAATAAATAATAATTGATTATTTACGACTCTTTGGAAGTTCAGAGGCCATGCTCTTCACTCTATTCAGAGAACATTCATTGCTGAAACCATGAACTCACCGTCACTGTGCTACGGGTTCTGATGTGATATTTCGCCAGCTGCACCATGGGTCTGAGTAAAGCGTTGCCGACAGTCATTTTTTTATTTCAGCGAATATTTACAGGGCCAAAGAGACGATCACAGTCTCAAAAAGGGGTTTGCCTTGAGTCGATCAGGGTTACGGTATAGATGTTGGGTGTTTTCTGACGTCAGCAGATCGGCTGTGGAAGGGCTAGATAGTCGGGGAGCGAAGCGAAAATTGAATGGGTTGAAAGTAATTTGTGGTGACTGAAATCATTGGCCAAGGCGTAGAAGAACGGCCAGCGATGCGAAACGCGACGAGCGTGAGGTTCGCAGAGGGACGACGACGAAGCCGACGGTGATGTGTTTAATTAGATGAAGACGAAGAGTGCTGGGGCAAGACACTGATAAACCCCGTCCCGCAGTGTCCCCAGGGGATCGTTCATGTGCACCTTCACTAATGGAATAGGCTACTGCCCTCAACGAACACATTCAACGAGAGGTCTGTACGTGCTACGGAGAAAGAGACCTCAAAAACGCACCTCATACCAACCACAGCAGTACTGTTTCTCGTCTCCTCCGTTACGCTCCATTTGGCTCTAAAATCGATAACACCGTACAGTACTGAACCTAATCGCAGTTTTTTATTTCTTTAGCTGTCTGTGACCTACATCTGTGCACTACTATTTCTCTAATATTTTATTAATTTCACACAAATGCAAATAAATAGTGCTCTAAGCGATGCAACAAGCAAACAAACACGTCGGCCGACGTCAGTAACTCTACCACTGTGGATTCAACGGATCAAAGCCGGCCGGATATTCTGATTGTGGGAAACTGTTCTGGTAATTTGGCGCTTGAGTACCGTAGCTGGCTCCCTGATAGGCTTGTGCAGCTGTCATCTCGGTGGCATTGTTATCGCTTTCGATTTGTCCATAGTTGTCATTTTTCAGCGTTGTCATTTCCGGTTTTGGCGTTAACGAGTCGTACCCGTGTACCTTTTTCAGCATGAAAATCATAGGTGTGTAAAAAATATTCGTTAGGAAGATAATGAGATTCAGGGCAAAGAAGCTCATATTGCCCACAATCCAACCGGCAATGATTGGTCCGAAAGCGTAAGCTAGCGAATAGGAAATGTCCGCAATTGCGTACACAGAACCGTAGACGGGTACGTGGCGTGTGTCCACAAGATATCCAAGCATTGGTAGAAGCGAAGTATCAATAAGGGCAATACCGAAGCACACAAAGCTCAGTGGAATAATCAGCTGCAGTACTGAAGTTGTGTAGGGCACAGCGAAGCACGCGATTCCCTCCATCGCCAGACCGGTAGCGGCGATCGCCCATGTGTGATTGGGGAACGCCTTCAGAAGCTTGACGGTAACGTAGACGCCGAGCACATGAGGGAAGAACGCCGGCAACCAGATGACTCCCACCAGCCACACAGGCGTGTCCGGCATACTCTCGGCCATCCAGTTGGTGATGGTGGGCTCGAGAAACGCCAACGACACGTTCGCCATGATCAGCGCTCCAGAGCAGACGGCGATCATCGGGTCCATGAACAGGCGCCACATCGGCGTACCCTTGATACGTTCACCAGCGGCGTTCACTGCTGCACGACGACCAGGTTGAATCACCATGAAGACGGCCAGTGCGTCAGCCAGGCAGACGAACGAGAGAATCAGGAACGGTACGGGTTTTCCGGCCAGCGAGTACAGCACGGATCCAAACGGTGGTGCGACGAGACAGCCGAAAGGAGATGAATGCGAGGGCGATACCGAGCGCAGCTGAACGTTCACCCTCCTCGTTGAAACGGTCGGCGATCATCGCTAGTCCGGAGGTGTCAGCGAAGGCTGAGCCGAATCCCTGCAATACAAAAATCATCAGTGGTTCATAAGAAAAACCCCTATGAACTCCTATAAAATTAGCGTCAAATTAAGGGTTATTTTACTCGAAATTACAGCTTGTTCCCGGGCTAGGCCAAGTCTAAACACTCCCCGAAGAAACGTCTCAAGTCTTCCAAACGCTAACATCGTGTTATGGGCGTAAGTCCCCCGGGGATATGAGGCTGGCTCGGCTCTCGAAATCGAAACCACCACGATAAGACAGACGCCAGCAATTCCATGATTTATGTCATTCACTGGGATCGCCGTTTACATGACGTTGGTTTATTTGAAAAACTATCTAGTAATGGGCAACGGTTCAACGAGACGGGCCATCCGAACATAATTGTCTAGGGCAATTGAAGAGCCTCATAAAAATAGGTAAGAAGAGATTGAAAAACAAAAAAAAATTAAAAAAGCCCAACCTGTAGTGATCTGGCGAAGAACATGACGCTGTAGCTGTGGCCGAGAGCGAATATAGCCGTTGAGCTGAACATCACCACTAGACCGATGACCATTGGAAGTTCGTAGCCGATTCGGTCAATAATATAGCCAGAGAATGGATTGACGAATATTTGGATGAGAGCTTTAGACGCGAACAGCCAGCCGAGTTCCATTTCTTCGTCTTTGTAGTCGATTTTTGCTCCCACGGCTCGTACGATGACCGTACCGTTGGGGAGACGTTCAGTTTCATTGTGATAGCCGTAGAACTCCACAGAATACGCATGAATATCGCGAAGGTATTTAGGAATAATTGGCACAATAACCATGTAGAGCATGTTGTCGAGCAGCAGAGCCACGGAGACGATGACCAGCACGAGTTTCTTCTGATTCTCCGGTTGTTCCACCCATTGCTTGGTGGCCGCTCGAACAGCATCCGAATCGCGATTCAGAATTGGCACATTGAATCCCATGATGATGTGGACGGTATGATAATGATGATGGTGATGATAAGGACGTCGATGAAGAAGAGCACGGTGACGAGCACGAGCACAGCGAGCACCAACCGATGGGCGGGGCGACTAGCGCTTCATCTCAGACAGACAGACACACGACACAGCGCGGCGCCACACTCGCCTGCAACAGCGAGAGCAGAGTCAATTACACAGATCATCGCTCGCCCCGCCCACCGCTAGCATGATCACTTATCGATAGCTTCAGAACTGCTCAATACACATGACTGTAGTCTGTGGGCGGGACGTACAAATCAAACAACAAGTTCTACTGAACATTTACTGTATTTTTCTGGGTTGAAATCCATGAAATTTGTCCTTGGTGGCAGAACTTATGGAGTACTGTAGATCAGTCAGAAAGCGCGACGCGAACATTTAGAGAAGAGTTAGAGTTTTCGGTGATTAGGATGAATGGCTACCATCAAGCTACCCTCAAATGCACCAATCACGATGAAGGGTGGTGCGATTTTGATGACGTCGTTGTACGTCATTGGTGGAAGGGCTCAAGGGGCGGTCTTCATCATACCTTTAGCGCGCCTGACGTCATCAAAATCGCACCGCCCTCCAACATTGCGATCACTGCCTTTAGGTAACTTCTTTGCTAACATGAATTTGATGCCATTAACGAAACTCTAACTGTAACTAGGCTATAGGACTGCAGCCTGCTTCTGAGATCGTATACTTAGGGCTGTAAGCAACTTAAACCACGGCGCTCTTTCTATTCCACCCAAATGAATACTTTATATACTAAATAAGCTACTGCATTTTACCCTTCTTCGCAGTAATGTTGCTGAGGGTAAAGCCTTAAGTCACTTGTTGCACAACCTCCTAGATCGCTAATGTCCCGAAAAGCCACTGAAGGCACTTCTTGCATTTTATAAGGGTGTAGTGGAAAGCTATCTGCTTACCTACGTGTACGGTTCGTGGGAAAAGTCTTGGATCGTACGCTGCTCAAGTAAACCAAGCCTTCCATTCCTCCTGGGTCAGTTCCTTAGTAGCAACTTGTTCGAGAGGCAAAAACATTGACTGGTCCCTGAAGGCCAATTCCCATTCAAAATGCCTGAAGTAAAATGCGCGGCGCATCCCAAGAGATTGATGAGCATTTCATACTTCATCCTTTTCCGCTTGGGAAGATAAAAAGCTCTTGACATTTCACAAGAATGCTGGATTGTGAGTAGAACTATAAAGAAAACGCTCTTGGCACTGATTGATCTCTTGTAGGATGAGCCACGCATTTTGCATGCATGTTTTGAGCCAGCCATAATCTCCAGGACAAACCACGGATGCAACTCGCCCGGTATTTAAGCCTCAGATCCCTGCGGGGGCAATAAGTTGATACCTCTCCCATTTGAAAGTCTTTGATTCCTACTTGTATATCATACACCGCCCCCTCCCTCCCCTGCCCAAAAGTTGTTATATGGGTCAAATCGTGTACTGCAACCAGAATTTTGTGGGATATGGGGTACCAAATAAATGAAGAAAGAATCTTTCTCGTAAAATTTCAACCCTTCTCACCGGCCCCATTTTTGATGCCTAAGATAGAATACCCGACTTCTGCGCTAACGTGTTGTTGCTCTATATGATAATTGTTTTTTTCTGTGCTGGGGACTTTATCAGAAGCCCTACCGACCCAGACTTGACGCTGTTACTGAAATCAATTCTGCAAGTTATGAAGGGCATTTTTTGCATTGGCAGAAATCGAACCACTGGGAGCTCAAGGGACAGA